TCAACTCTGTTTGCTGCCATTGTGTAATCGTCAAAATGATTGCAGCCCTCACATTAGTAGTATTCTTTACTGTCATTGGCTGCAGTGCCCAGTCTTTGATGGAAATTAGCCTAAATCTTAGGGATGAAAAATATGTTTATCATCTTTTTTGTTTATTTTATTTCGTCCACACCCAAGCAAAGGTGACTGACTGTAGGAAAATGTTAGAAAATGTAGGATGGATGGATGCAAGACTGATGAAAGATGATAGATAAGTGACAGATCTACCATGGATGTTTGTAGCAAACTTATGCAGCTATTTCTAGGAAGAAGTCCTAATGGACTTACCTCTCCAATAATAGTAATAATAATAATAATAATAATAATAATAAAGTTGGAAGGGACCTTGGAGGTCATCTAGTCCAACCCCCTGCTCAGGCAGGAAACCCTATACCATTTCAGACAAATGGCTGTCCAGTCTCTTCTTAAAAACTTCCAGTGTTGGAGCATTCACCGCTTCTGGAGGCAGATTGTTACACTGGTTAATTGTTCTAATTGTTGGAACTATAAGTAGTCCTCGAATTACATCCACAATGGAGCTGAACATTTCTGTTGCTAAGCAAGGCAGTTGTTAAGTCAGTTGCACCCCATTTTATGACCTTTTTGCCACAGTTGTTAAGTGAATTACTGCAGTGTTAAATGAATCATATAGCCATTAAACAAATCTGACTTCTCCCAATTACTTTGCTTGTCAGAAGTCAAATGGGAAGGTTATAAATGGGGATCACATGGCCCAGGATGGTGCAACTGTCATAAATACATCCCAGTTGCCATGTGCCCAAATTTTGATCACATGACCATGGGGAGGCTACTACAGTTGTGTGAAAACCAATCATAAGTCACTTTTTTCACTGCTGTTGTAACCTCAGTCACTAAACAAATGGTTGCAAGTCGAGGATTATCCATATAAAACTGCAGCTTAAGCACTGGAAGACAGAGCTGGGTGTGTATACATTGATGCCATTTTAAAAAACGTTTTAATTAAAGCAAATGAGTAAAATATTTCAAAAACAAAGACAACGTAGCATAAATGTGGAGTAGGATAAATAAACCAGCCCCCTTCGTGAAATGTGCAGAGAACAGAAATAACACACAACTACATCCAGTGTCATGGGTGTAAATTGGGTATGTCTAGTTTAATGAAGAGAAGGACGAGGGGGGACCTGATAGCAGTCTTCCAATATCTCAGGGGCTGCCACAAAGAAGAGGGAGTCAAGCTATTCTCCAAGGCGCCGGAAGGCAGGACAAGAAGCAACGGGTGGAAACTAATCAAGGAAAGAAGCAACCTAGAACTAAGGAGAAACTTCCTGACAGTGAGAACAATTAACCAGTGGAACAACCTGCCTCCAGAAGCGGTGAATACTCCAACACTGGAAGTTTTTAAGAAGAGACTGGACAGCCATTTGTCTGAAATACTATAGGGTTTCCTGCCTGAGCAGGGGGTTGGTCTAGATGACCTCCAAGGCCCCTTCCAACTATTCTATTCTATTCTATTCTATTCTATTCTAAACTTCTATGCAAGCCATTCCGCTTTGAACGCAGCGCACGCGCAAACGGGAACTAAACGGGACGGGCTCTTCCCCAGGCCGGCTCCGCCCCTGACTGATAACCGCCCCGAGAAAAGCCAAGAAGGGGCGTGGTGAAACGACGACTGCTTCTCCCATTGGGCAGTTTATAACTAGAAGGCGGGGCCAGGATGGCGGGAAATACGGAACTGGAACCCGGAAGCCTCTTTGTAGAGTTCCCGGAACTTGAGAGCCGAGCCCGTTCTGCCTTGCCTGGAGGAAGAGGAGGCTGGTAAGGGGCAGCTAAGCCCGCAAGCCCTTCGTTTCAATGCGGAGCGCTACTAGTAGGAGTTGTAAGGGACTACTCATAGGAGTACGCGTGAAGGTGAAGAGCGTCTGCACGCGGTGCTGGGTGAATTCGGGCCACGTGGAGTTGAGAGTTGCTGTCTTGAGAACGCGACCGCGGCTTCCCCACCCAACCACGTAGGTCCCTTTGGACGGGGAGGCGCGTTTATAGCCTCTTAGAAAGAGGGCAGTTCCTGGCAGAAGACGTTTGGGGCTGTGCTGCGGAGACTCCTCGTAAAACTGGAGTGCGGCCTGCCTCCCCTTTCCTGATGTGGGGTGTGTATAAACACGGGCAAGCGGGCTTGCTTTGAGCTGCTGTCAAAAGCTGAGCAGTTGGGGCCTGGTTGGTGTTTGGGTGGGAGACCACCAGGAGATTCTGGGGCTGTGGAGTATTTGGTGGGTTGAAAAACGAAGAAGGTGCTATATTGCTGCCAGGTAAAGTATGATTGACCCTCGTCAGTACTGTCATTTGGAATCGAGCAGGATGCCACGGAGTCTTGACCTTCTAGTCGTTTGAGTGCCTGGAGTATCCTTTCCATGAGTCTTTCCATCCCATTTTGAGAAGAAATTAAAATTGTATGCAGTATGTTTGACTGGAGAATTCTGGGAACCTACACATCTTAAAGTTGTCAAGGTTGAGAAACATTGGTATACGGAACATAAAGCCCCATCAGCATATGCCCCTCTGCTCTCCCACCTCAGATGGACCCAACTCTACTGGCCTTTCTGACAGCCAGAATTCTTGGTTTTCTCCCCCCTCCCCGCCCCCAAGCACTGGGTGGGTGAGACCATAGGACAGTGATGGCGAACCTTTTA